ATATCTTGCCACTGTAGGTTACCTTTTCACAGGGGACTAAACTGAAACACTTAAGGAAATGGATTCTTGCCACCGAAAGTTTCCTTTTTGTCTAGAGCTATTCTCAAGCACATGAAGATTCTCAGAAATGGAGTTTTCCCAGCACCCTGGCTATGCTGAGGCATGTGGGGGGTCCTGTTGTTTGCTTTTGCCTGGTCCACTGCACTGGGGCTAACGATTCATTTTGGGTCAGTAATGTATGGTAATTGAGAGGTGAAGATGTGAGGGTTACAACAATTTACCATTTACTCCACCATCTTGGCTTCAGGAAGTACCCCCTGTCCTTTCAATGTAGAAGTTGCTCGATCTTGCATTATCATGACTGTGGCTACACAATATTTGAATTGTTTCTCTATGGCTGCTTGCAATATTTTCTCCTTGTCTTTGGAGCTTTGGGATTTGGCTATAATATTCTTGGGAGTTTTCATTTTGAAATCTCTTTCTGAAGGTGACTGGTGGATTTTTTCAATTTCTATTTCATCCCCTGGTTCCAGGGTATCAGGGTGGTTTTGATGGATAATTTCTTGAAATATGATGTCTAGTTTCTTTTATGATTCACTTTCAGGTTTTTTTTTTTTTTACTAGGAGATATTTCACATTTTCTCCTCCATTTCATTCTTTTAAATTTCTTTTACTGGGGTTTTTTTGATGTCTCATCAATTCTAATTTTTAAGGAATTATTTTCTTCAATGAGCTTTTGTGCCTCTTTTGCCATTTGGAAAGTTTTATTTTCTTAAGGAGTTCTTCCCTTAAGTGGATTTTTGGGCCTCTTTTTCTGTTTGTTTTATTTTGTTTTTTTTTAAGGTGTTGTTTTCTTCAGTACTTTTTTTTCTTTTGCTTCTTTTAACATGCTATTGATTCTTTTCATAATTTTTTTAATCCCTCTAATTTTCCCCCTTATTTATTCTCTACTTCTCTTATTTGTTTTTAAAATCCTTTGCGAGCTCTTCTAGGAATTCTTTTTGGGCTTGTGTCCTATTCACATTTTTTTTCTTTGAGACTTTGTATGTAGCTGTTTTGATTTGTCTTCTGAGTTGTTTTCTTGATCTTCTCTGTCACCATAATAGCTTTTTATGGTCAGGCTCTTTTTTGTTGTTTGCTCATTTTTCCAGCCTATTTTTTTTTGGTTTGTTTTTTACTTTTAACTTTATTTTAAAGATATCCTTTACTCCTTGGGTGGAGGGGAATGGTGCTCCAAGCTTCAGGTTTTTAGTGTTGCTATTTTCAGAACTTGTTCTGGGGGTCTATGAGTTTTCAGGTCTTCCAAGTTATTATGAACTAAGGAGAAGTGTGGTTAGTGCTCTCCTGGGCTATACTCTGTCCTGTGAATGACCACAAGCACTCTTCTCTGCTCCATAACTGTGATCAAGGTCCCTGTTTCTCTGTGGTTTCAAGTACTCTTGTTCCTAATAGTCCTGGAAATGTGACTCAGGCCCTTACTCTCCTGTGGCTATAAGCACTAGTGCTCTTTTTTTGTCTTTAACCTAGACCAGGGTTCCTGCTCCCCTGTAAATGACCTAAAACGTATTTTTCTGTGACCAGGGCCTTTGTCCCTTTGGGGCCACTCTTTTTCAGCCTGGGACTACAACCCAGAACTGTGTATGGGCAATGCAACAGGTCCCGCTCCCAATGCCAGCAAAGGGTCTCCTGTAATCATCCTCTGACCAATTATTTGATCCCCTTACTGCTTGCTATATGAGAGCTCCCAAATTGTTGTTGTTGCTACAGCCATTGCACCTACTTCCAAGGCCCGCTGCTAGTTGTCATGGTATGGCTTGCACTGCATTGTACTTTGGGTCTGATCACCACTCTGATGATGTGGACTTTTTCTGCTTATCTCCTAACTTGTTATAGGCTGGAAAATTGTTTCACTACAATCTTCGTTTGTTTTGTTACTTAAAAATTCAATTTGAGGAAATGTAAAGTTATTTACATGGGAATTTTGGAATATTCAGTTGATTTCCTGCCTTTCCTCTGCATTTGTGGCCCTGCCCCTCACCCTACCCCCATTTATGCCTTTTCTAGCTAAACTTATTTTTTTCCCAGTACTCAGTACAATTATATGTCCACAGTACGTGTTTAATAAATATAGTGTGCCTTTGAATGCAGTAATGTGCTTCAGAAATGTATGCAAAAGACTTGCAAAACAATAAGAATAATAACATTAACTGCCAATTTTTAGAATATACATGTATATGAAAATATACATACATATATACATAGCATGTACATATAAATATATATTATTTATGTATATAGATGTATGCATGTATACACAAACATACATAAAAACTTCTGGATCTATAGAGGTTGGTGTACTGTACCCCTTCATTTTCACTAAGACACCCATCTATTCTGTACCACAGAGGTTGTCCAGACTCTAATCAGTCTTGGGTGAACCTGGTCTTTAAGGATATGGAAGCTATGTGCCTTTTTCTCACATTCATTGTGTCTTTGAATACTGACCCTGGGATTCCAGGAACATATTATTTAAACTTGAGACTGGGAGTCACATTTAGGGTGTCCCAAAAAGTGGAAGTAAAAGAAATGGTAGGCTGTAACTTATATTAGACAATGTCTAATATAAGTCAAGTTTGGATAGGGATTTCTTTCATACAAAAAAAATGCTTAAAAAAAGAGAATTTTACCAGTGCATATTAATAGTAAGATCAATTAAAAAGTTAACTACTTTTTAACAGTAGTTAACTACTATTGTAATAGGAAGTTGATACTTAAAAAATGCCTATGTAGTATTTTGTTGCATTGCTGATTAGTCATTTTACATTACATCTGGACTCTGTGCTGTACAAATAACTCCTGGTATGTGTTTCTGCTAGGCCAGGTCTGATCTAGTCCTCTTGTTGGTGCTCATCTTCTCCAAGAGTATTGGAATATTTGCCTGGGATTCTTCCCAAAGCTACTGGTCAGTTCTGATTCAGTGGGATCCAAAATCTTCATACTTTTCAAAATCATAAGGTCACTTTTAAGCCTGGACACATCTAACCCAAGAATTATGTTTAATTGTGTATTCATAAAAATAAATACAAAGTAGAAAAGGTGGCCAGCTCACCTAGTTGAGTTCATGCTTCATGTAATATATATATATATATATATATATAATTCAGCTCTTGGTGCCATGCTGCATTCCTTTTCAAGTATCTGGCCCTACTACTCCTTCAAAAATAAAAGGCACTTCAAAGGTGCTTGCATATTGACGCCTTGATCATCAAGGCTGTCCTAGAAAACCTGTCCTTCCCAGGAAACAACTTGACCCTGACCTATTAAATAATGATTTGATAGCACAGACTTATCAAATACTGCCCTCAGCTGTGTTAAAGTGTGACAATATGTTATTTCTAGGCATATTTTAATTTTATCTGGGGATAAACAATGTTTTAATCTAATATGATTATGTCTACAGGCAAGTTTTCAGATCTTAGAAATAAATTGGCAGGAAAGAAAGCTATGATCCTCATATAATATACACACGCACACATACATATATACAGACATATATACATGCATACATATATACAGACATACATACATGCATGCATACATTCTGCCATTTTGTAAGGAGAACCATGAATATAAAGTTTGCCATTCGAGAGTTGTGCATTGCTAATGGAAAACAGTGGATGTGTGTGAAAACATGACTTCTTGTGATCACAGATTAAAAGATAGACAGGATATTGGAGGTTATCTATTTGAACACACTCATTTCATAAATTAAGAAACAAACCCAATGAAGATAATTATTGACTTACCCAAAGTCACACAGATGACCAAAATGGCAAAGAAATGATTTCAACTCAGGCTATATAACTTTAATCTCAGTTGTTTTTCCACTACACTTCATTACACCTTTAATTTAGAAAAAAAAATACAGACAATTTTTTATGGACTTATCTATTTTATTTGCTACAGTGAAGAGTTCTGAACTTGAAGTCACAGTACTTAGATTCAAATACTGGTTATGCCTCTTATTAACCCCATGACTGTGAAAACTTCTCTTAACCTCTCTGAACCTTAGTTTCCACATTTACAAAATAAAACAGCTGGACCAGATGGACTCCAAAGTCCTTCAAATCCTATATCTGTAATTTTATGATCATATGTATTTCTAAACATGGAAAAAAAAAAACTATTGTAAATTCCTGCATGCCATCTACATCCCCTGTAGTCATCTACATTTTTAGTTATCTACATTGGTAGCTATAATTTGCAAGGTTCTGTATCTACTCCATGTACCTGATTGTCCTAGAATTCTTGAATGCCCCTTTCCTGTGGGAGACAATTTCTGTGTCTATATCCAATGTAGTAGAAAGGGAAAGAAAGTAGTTGTGTCTATCTATTATCACCAAATACTTGATTTTTTAAAAAATAAATTTATATCTGAGCCAGATTCTTCAAGAAAAATAAAAGTTCCTTCATGAAGAACTTTGGTTTTTGTCTCTGTGTCTCCAAAGCCTAGCATAGGGTAACTGCTTAGTAAATTGATTTGTTGGTGAGTTGTTCAGTTTTGTCTGACTCTTTTTGGCCCCATATGGGGTCTTCTTGGCAAAGGTACTAGAGTGGTTTGCCATTTCCTTCTCCAGTGGATTAGGCAAACAGTGGTTAAGTGATTTGCCCAGAATTATATAGTTAGTGAAGGTTTGAGGCCAGATTGGAACCCTGGTCTTCCTGACTCCAGGCACAATAATCTATCCACTGAGACATCTAGTTAGTAAATGGGCATTTGGTGATTTGATCTGAATTTGTACATGTTTTTTTCTAACAAAGGTATTTATGTTTTGAAATTCAGTATAAGGAAGAGAATTGGGAAATTCACATTATAGAGGGTTTAGAAAAAAGGAATTGAAAAAGCTGTTGATATTTTAGGATACAGACTGCTTATGAAGTTTTAAGAAGTCCACCGATTGTTCATTTTCTTTTTTTCTTTTGAAAAATTTTATATCTAGATGGGGGGTACTCAGAGGAGCAAAAGGAAGAAAAGAAAAATTTTGGGTATGTAAACCTTTCCAATTAATTTCCAACTAGAACATAAGAATTTCAGATATTTTTATTTATTTACTGTCTTACTTTTATTGTCCAAATCATATTGTAAATCGCTGAAAAAAGGTCATGGTTTTGATGGTGTCTCTAGCACAGAATTCATCATGCTTAGTAAATCATAGTAATGGTTTTCCTCAATTGCATTCATCTTAACTACTAAGGAAGAAAACACAGCACTTTAAAAAATGAACAGCATTTAATATTATTCTCACATTTCTTTTTAGAAGGTAAAAGACATATAATGAAATGCAATAGTAAGACAATAAAAAAGAATGAATCAGGTATTAAATTGCCAAAATAAATGTTATCCTCAAAATGTCCCCAAGGAGGTGAAGACTCATTTCCTAATTAACCTCCAAGTCTCTAACGTAACTGAGAAGGGTAGCATCCATTCACTCACAGAAAGATACTATGGATATCTTTTTCTTCTCAGCAGCACTTTGACTTCCTGACATGGCAAGACAGCATTGAGCATTCCATTGATGGTTTTTCATGGCACAGAAGTTATAGTCCAGAGTACATAGGACTCAGTGCTGTAAGCTGTAGCATGCTGAGGTCTCTCAGAACTGTAATTTTCTCTGCAGGTCATGCCAGCCTTGGTACTGTATGGATAGGGATACTATTTTTTCATCTTTCTCTCTACTTCCTCCTACCAATCCCCACATAGGGAGACTCCTAGCCTTAAAAAGTTTATAAATGCCTTTTCTTTTTGGTAGCAGTAATTTTTTTCAATACATAATGCCACCATTGGCCATTTCCTTCCAGCAACAACATGAAATCCTTAGCTATTTTTAAGTGGTGCATTGAAACACACACCCATATAATTAATGTCTTTTTGGGTGATGCTTCTACACTGCTGAGCCAATATTCAAGCTTCTGAGAGGTACAATACAAAGAAAATTTCTTTCATGAGAAATTTTCTCCCAGCCACAAGTATCATAGGAAAATGATGTTCCTTGACTGGATAAAGAAACTGCAAAATATCATTCAGTTCATTTAATATTTTGCATAAATTATGACTAATGGGTCTCTGATTCAAAAGCATTTTTCTGCATAGTTTTTTGTGGTCTGAAGTTTGGTCTTGCTGCTTTCCTGTACACTTTTACTAACTTCTACCTGTTATGTGTCTTATTCTAATATGCTCCCTTCCTCCACTTTCACCCAAGTTGGCTGTAAGACACAATGAGCTAGTCTTATGACACAATGTATCCTTCTTGGTTCATCCTATCCAATGAGAATCCTAGCCCAAAAGCCAACACCATCTTTCATTTTATTTTTGAAAAGTAGAGATTATTTTATTTTGACTTGTAATCATTAGATTGACACTATCTCTATTAGGAATTTGGTTGAATATGTGGATTCTTTCAAAGAAGAAATGGTATGGAGTGAATAGTGCAAGTGAACTCAAACTTCCAAAAAGGTGTCTATCATAAAATTTTAGATTGCAATTTTCAATATAAAAATTTTCATCAAGATATTTATAATGTGCTTAGCATGGTGCCTGGCATATAATAGACATCTAATAAATGTGTTTTATCTCCCTTCTCTTCCCTTCTCTAATGCTCTCCACTCCTACCACCATTGTGTCCTATAAAATTTATGGTTATAAAACAGACAGTCTTCTAAATAATCTTACCTATTTATTCTCTTTTTGGGGGAAATTTAAAAAAATATGATTACAGAGAAGCATAAGAAGTCATATAAACTGATATAGAGTGAAGTGAAAAGAATTAAAAGAGCATTTTATACTATAAATTAATTATAATTAATACTTTTGAACACTTGTTAAACCGATGGAGAGAGAAATGAGTAGAACCTGGAGAATAATTTATAAAATAGTGATGATACTGTAAAGAAAAATAACTTTCAAAGTTGTAGAAACTCTGATAAATGAAAACATCATCCATAAAACTAGAGAAACATTTGTGAAGCATGCTGTTCTCCTACTGGAAGAGATGTAATGGACTCAGGATATATAGAATGAGGTATATATTCCTTTAGCCTGGCCTAGTAAGGGAATTCTTTTTGCTTGATTATACATATTTATAACAATGGATTTGTTTTTTTTTTCTTTTTTTCCCAATGGGGTGGGAGGTAGAAGAGAACGCAAATGAATTTCTGTTCATTAAAAGTAAAATTTATAATAAAAACACACAAAAATCAAAAGCTTAACTATTTATAAAAAAAAAGCATCTAACTGGAAATTGTGTTCAGGATAATTTTATTAGAAGGAAATAGGTGGAAAAGTGGAAAGGGAAGAGGAAGCAATGAGAGGGAGAGTAAATTAAGAGTGAAATTAATCACAGGCAAAAACAAAACAAAAACCTCTAGTCAAAGAGTGGATTGTATGAAGAAAGGTTTACAGGGAAAGAAATAAAGCCTAAGAACTTGGAATTGGCTCTCTGTCAAGGAAAAATAAGAGGGGAAAGAGAGCAAAAGCATATTGCATCAAATCTATATCATTGGTGCTGAACACATTCTTAATTCACCGCCATCTTCTTCTGTATGATAAAGGGATGGGAAACAATGAGAAGGAAAATAATGTAAGAATAAGGTGGAGGGAAATACACATGTAAGTACTAACATGAATAGGATTAATTCACACAAAATGGAAAAGGATAACAGAATAATTTCCAATATAAAATTCAACCATATCTTGTTTATGAGAAATATAAAGACACATAGAATTAAAATAAAAGGCTAGGAAAAATCTATTGTATTTCAGCTAAAGTCAAAAAAAGCAGGGATGGCCATCATTATTTCAAATAAGGTAACAGGAAAAATCATTTTGATTAAAAGAGATATGGAGGAACCTACATTTTGCTGAAAGAAACCATAAAAAATGAATATAAATATTACACATATATGCACTGAATCATAGCATCTAAATAGTTCAAGGAAAAGTTAAATGAATTACAGGAAGAAATATACTATAAAACTATAATAATGATGGTTCTCAATGTATCACTTTTCAGACCCAACTACATATAACAAAATAATAATGTAAAGATTCAAATTGATTTTTAGAAAAGTTAGATATCACAGCCTCAAGTGATGATTATTTAATGGGAATAGAAATTATCAACTTTTCATAACACTTTTATTAAAATTGACAATGTATCAGAGCATGCAAGCATTTCAAACAAATGCAGAAAAACATAACTATTAAGCATTTTTTACTTACTAAAATGAAGTACAATTATTTTTGACAAAGAACCATTGAAGAATAATTTAAAATTATGTTTTAAACAAAAACCTATTTGATCCAAGTATATGTCACTAAAACTGGAAACCTAAATGAAATGGATTAATATTCACAAAATTTAAAGTGGCCAGGTTAACAGAACAAAAACCAGAAAATTTTAAAAAATAGAGAAGAAATTAATACCAGCTCTAAACTTATGCCCCAACAAATCAATAATGACAACAACAACAAACCTTGGATCCTGTGTATTTACAAATAAATTTTATCAATTTTCAAAGAACAAAATAATTGCAATATTACATAACCTGTATGGAAATTAGAAAATGAAGGGTGCTTCCACATTCCTTCTATGACACAAATATGGTTATTACTTCAATTACAGAGAATTAAAATAGAATAAAAAAACCCTATAGAACAATATCCCTAATAATCATTCTCATAAAACCTTAAAAATATTAGAAAGCAGATTATGACAACATATTATACATATTGTATAGAGTATGAGCAGATTGAATTTAAACTAGGCATGCTGGATTACTTCAATATTAGGAAAGTTACCGACATAATTGCTCATCTTAATAAAGAGAACAACAAAAATTATATGGTGATATTAACAGATGCAGATAAAGCTTTTAAAGGGGTATCTATTCTTATCTTTAAGAAACTAGAAAACAAAAAATAGCTTTATTAATGTAACAAATAGTATCTATGTAAAATAAAGTTGTAACATTAAATGTAATGGGATGAACCGTATAACTTTCCAGTATGTTCTATGGTAAAACAAGGATGTCCAACATCATCACTACTATTTGATACAATACTAGAAATACTAATTATACAATGACAAGAAAAATAAATAAGTCATTAAGAAAAGACATAAAGGAAGCCAAATTATCACTGCAGATATAATGGTTTACTTAGCGATCCCCAGAGCTGAACAATTTTGTCAAAGTGGCAGGATGTAAAGTAATTCTACATAGGTCATCAGCGTTTCTGTATAATGCTAATACCAGTAGGAAAAGCTAGAAAAAAATATGCTCCTTTTCAAAATACCTGCAGAATATTTAAAATATTTGACCCATTAAGTCATACTTTGTTACTATTGTTCAGTCATTTCAATTATGTCTGACTCTTTGTGACCCTTTTGGGGGTTTTCTTGGCAGAGATATTGTGGTAGTTTGCCATTTTCTTCTCCAACTCACTGTACAGATGAGAAACTGAGACAAACAGGTTTCGATGACTTGCCCCAGGATCACACAGCTAATAAGTCTACAGTGTTAGATTTGAACTCATGGAGATGAGTCCTCCTGACTTCCTGATTATGCAACCTAGATAAATACAACTTATAAAAATCTCTATGAACATCCTTTAAAAAATAAAACTCATAAACATAAATGGAAAAAAAATAATATCTCTGGGATAGACTGAATCGATATAATGAAATGATAATATTACCTAAATTAGTTTAGTTATTCAATACCATTCCACATTAGCAAAGGATTATGTTATAGTTCTAGGAAAAACAGCAAAATTATCCTAGAAGAACAAGATCCTAAGAATCTCAAGAGAAATAATGAAAAAAAATATGAAAGATAGAGGTTTAGTATTACCAGATCTCAAACTATACTACAAAGTTCTAACCATCAAAATTTTTTTTATAATTGGTTAAGAAATCAGTTGATCAGTTGAACAAATTAAGTAGACTGCATATAGAGGGAAATAAATACAATAACCTCATGTTTTATAA